AGATGATTTAGGGCTCCGGCAGAGGAACCTTAGGACTCCCTGCCCATCCCACACTATCACCCATTCCCCAGAAAAAACTACTGAAACTGGAAAAGTTAGCGACATTTTCCTTTTATAGTGTGAAGGGGAGGCGTGGGTTGGCTGTTGCACGCGTGGGCGAAGAGGGATGTCACCCCAGTTCCATCGCATCTTCTCGGCAGCTTGGTATTAGTACAGGAAGATAACACAAGGCACGTTTGGGGGGATCTTTCTAGTGTTGGGGGGTCGTTTGCAAGCCATCTTCCTTTCCCTGGGTGAGTCATAGTGGAAGGAGGCGGGAGAAGTGCCCCCCTCTTCCAGCTGCCAGCCAGCTGTGCCCCCCGCTCCTAACATTAGTGCCAAGGCCGAGTTGGGAGGTCTTGGGTGCGGAATCGGGATCTCGGCTGTAAAAGGAGGAGTTTAGAAGGGTACAGCCCAGGCTGCAGGGCTCGGGCAGGTCGTAGGGTCCGGGTTCCACTCCCCATTTTACCCCGCCCTCACCCTAAATCCCAGCATCCAAGGATCACCCACCGCGCTGGCCGGCCCGCTCCCGGCCGTTCTCCACCCCACCCCGCCCCACCCCACCCTCACTCCCGGGAGACCGGAAAACCAGGAATGGAATAAAAACTGGAGTTTGAGGAGAAATGCGATCATAGCATCCTCTCCTTCCTCACTACTCCCTTCTAATCGATGGTGACTTTGTTTTTTTCACTCTCCAAGAAGCCTTCCCCCACACTCTTTCCTGTTCCCCCCAAAAGGAGACCAGATCCAAACCACCCCAGAATGACATTAACTTCCATCCCTTGTACCTAACAGACCTGAGAGCACCCCCTCTGAAACATTATTCCCCCTCTACAATTTTCCCCTAAGGGCAGATTGATCTTTTGAGCTCTCTCTTGGCCCTACCAGTCTGTGTGGACTGTGGCGAGGTCTCCCTCTACCGGACACTGCAGAGATTGCGGATGAACTGTCCTGGGGCAGGGGCAAGCCAAGGAAAGGAACAGGCAGAGCAGCCCAATGCATGAAGTCAGACTCTCCACATGAGTTCTCCCATCACAATCCTCAAAACTGGTCCATGACATTAAAATCACTTGAAACTCATCCTGGCTCAATAGGTTCTTAACACACACACACCCCTCTCCCCCCCCCCGCCCCGTGGCGCGCGCGTGCACACACACACACACTTTTTCTAGATAGATAGATCACCCAGGGAAAGCTCCTACCCATTTCCCAAAAAGATCCCCAAGACTGTCTGACAGCCTCTGCCTCTTTGGGATGTTTCTCTTTATCCCTTCTTTGGTTGAATGATGTTCTTTTCAATTTGATTTCCATGGCCTATGTCTTAGATGGGCTGGGGGCACAGGAGACATGCTGCCAGAGTTCTGTGCCTGAGATTATCATCTGATCTTCTCTACTTCCCTCCATCTTTATAACCTTCAGTTCTACCTTCCCTTTCTACAGTGTCCCCACACCCTCCTCTGAGACATCATGTTCAACTCGATGACCCCACCACCAGTCAGTAGCTATGTTGAGTCATGCTGTCTTCGACCCCTCCTCAGTCAAGGGACCCCCAGCATGGGGACAGAAGGTCAGTGTATTTACCAATCCCTGGGCCTTAAGGACTTGGCAGATATCTCGTGTAACCCCAGGATCCCCCTCAGTCCTTTCCCTATCCCCTATCAGTTTCCTTTCGTACAGGAGGATTTGAGGCTCTATGCTATATAGGCTTGGAATCTAGGGTCAGGTCTTGCCTGGGACTTTAAGGTGAGGCCTATGTCTTCCATTCCCATTCTGCACTCCAGCTGTCTCTCTTTTCTAGGACTGTCTGGTCTGCCCTTTTGCCATCAAGCCAACCTCACGTCGGGTCCCCACAGTTATATGCCAGCCAGAGAGAACAGCAGCTGCACTGAGGGTGAGTCCTCAGGGAAAACCTCTTCCTTTTCTACTTTGGGACTTGTTTTGTAGAACAAAGTGGGAGGGCAGGGATCTAATTGGGAGGAGGAAATGCTCAGAAATGTGAGGGGTCAGAGAACAACCAAGTGGTCACAGCTGGAATCAGTAGCACAAAGCAGAGTTGAGTATTATTTTTTGCTGAGAGGACCCACAGGTTGGTTACATGGAGATTCCCTTTATCTCCTCTGTCTCTTACTCCAGGATCACTCTTTCCTCCTCCCCGGAATGCTGTCAAGTTGACCAAGAAGCGAGCACTGTCCATCTCACCTCTGTCAGATACCAGCCTGGACCTGCAGACAGTTATCCGCACCTCACCCAGCTCCCTTGTGGCCTTCATCAATTCCCGCTGCACATCTCCTGGAGGCTCCTATGGCCATCTCTCCATTGGCACCATGAGGTACAGACATTCTCTGGCTAAGACTCCAACTGAAAACCACCAAAAGCCTCAAGTCATCTAAATTTCCAGCCCAATTTGAATCACTTCAAAGTCATTGAAACCCTCCTCAGAACTTCCCTTAGGGCTGCTTTGACCAAGCCTTACATCAAATCTTATTAAAAAAAATCCTCTAAATTATCCAATAACTTCAAAGACTTGCTGATAGTCTTCAGTAACTGCCACCTCTTCTCTTCAGCCCTTCTCTGGGATTCCCACCTCAGATGAATCACCAAAAAGGGAGCTCACCTTCCTTTGGAGTGCAGCCCTGTGGCCATGACTCCAACCGGGGTGGGATGATGCCACATCCTCAGTCCCGGGGACCCCTCCCAACTTGTCAGGTGAGATTCCCCATACTGTTACCCGATTTTTCCTAGGTCAGGGTGGGTGGGTGGCAACTTTACAGTAAAGGAAGGACAGAGTATATAAAAGTTTTCACTGGGGCTGAAGTTGTGGCTCAGTGGTAGAGCACTTGCCTAGAATGTGTGAGGCACTGGGTTTGATTCTCAGCACTGCATATAAAAAAATAAAGGTCCATCAACATCTAAAATAATGTTTAAAAAGTTTTCAGTTCCAGAGAAGTAGAGAGGTTTTACTCTTTGGGGCTGACTCAGGCTCTTCCAGATGAGATTCTACCTTTTGCCCATCCCATTCACCAATGCAATCTTAGAAGGAAGTCCCTTCCACACCCAGGGGTTCCTGCTCCTTGGGTGGGAACACTTAGAACAGAAAGACCTGGCTGGGCTCCTTCCTTCTTCCTATTTCTACCCTTATCACCCTCATCTCTTCCCCTGGGGAAGCTGAAGTCAGAGCTGGACATGCTGGTTGGCAAGTGCCCAGAGGAGCCTTTGGAAGGTGATATGTCCAGCCCCAACTCCACAGGCACACAGGTAAAAGGAGGGGCATGGGCTTTACCTTTGGGACCTGAGCAAACAAAAGCTGTCACCCAAGTAACCATAACACTGCTTCTCCTATCCTAGGATCCCCTGTTGGGGATGCTAGATGGGCGAGAAGACCTCGAGAGAGAGGAAAAGCCTGAGCCTGAGTCTGTATATGAGACTGACTGCCGCTGGGATGGTTGCAGCCAGGAATTTGACTCCCAGGAGCAGCTGGTGCACGTGAGCCCTAGGGGGTAACAGGAATGACTGACTGGAGTCTGTAAAAGACTCCGAGTGAGACATTGTGGAGTTTGGTTGAGGGTAGGGATCAAGATACTAAAGTCATAGGTTGAGTGCTTACTTGAGTAGGCAAAGCTCAAAAACTAGCTTTACTTTAGAGAGCTGGAAGGCATGAGATTTGGGATATGTTGTCTTCCTGCCCCTTCTTCCCCCACAAGGTAAAGTTGAGGAGGAGGAATAGGGAGCCAGGGCAGCTGTTCTGGGTTCCGGGAACATGGGGGAAACTTGGAAAACCTCTGTATCTTTTCCCCCAGCATATCAACAGTGAACACATTCATGGAGAACGGAAGGAGTTCGTGTGCCATTGGGGGGGCTGCTCCAGGGAGCTGAGGCCCTTCAAAGCCCAGTACATGCTGGTGGTACACATGCGCAGACACACAGGCGAGAAGCCACATAAGTGCACGGTGAGGCATTCATTCCCAAGCCAAGTCCCTTCCTAAACTGGCTTCCAGTCAAGATAGGAAGAAAGACTTGTTCATAGGTCCTTTTTACCATAAATATTAAGTCCTAATTATGACTGTATTGATATATATTAAAACATTTTCTTGGAACTAAAAGCTCATTTTCCCTTTGATTTAAAAATATTAAAATATATTTGTGAGTCCCTTAAAATATTGTGGGCCCTCAGGACTGTACCTAGATTGTGCGTAATAGCTAAGCCTTGCATCAAGGACATAAGACACTCACTTGAACCTATTCCTCAGATAACCCCAATTTAGAAAAGTCTGAGATTCCACACAGGGAGCCCTGCTCAGGCCTGACCAGGAAGAGTAATTCCTCACACCACACCCCTAAGGGAAAGTGCCTCCAGCTGCTTCTGTTCAAGAGAAGCACTCATTTGCCCTTATCCCCTAATTTTGGGAATTCTCTTGAGCCTTAGTGTTCTCCCATTTTGAACTATATTCTCTATGTATGCCTCTTATGAGATTTAGGGTCCTTTAATCTCCATGTTCTTCTGTTTAAGAATTCTCATTTTACCCTCTGTTATGTCTCCTAGTTTGAAGGGTGTCGGAAGTCATACTCACGCCTTGAAAACTTGAAGACACATCTGCGGTCACACACGGGTGAGAAGCCATACATGTGTGAGCACGAGGGCTGCAGTAAAGCGTTTAGCAATGCCAGTGACCGCGCCAAGCACCAGAATCGGACCCACTCTAATGAGGTGAATGTCCCAACTAAGAGACCCTCCCCACTTGAGAAGCCATCTGCAGGGGAGATTCCCCCATAAGAAATCCCTTAGCTCAGCACCCACTTCAAAGAGGTGAGTTCCCCTTGCCCCTGTAATTCACGCAGAGAGACCCTTTCTGAAACAAAGAATTTCAAGCCACGCATGGTGATGTACATCTGTAATCCCAAGGACTCAAGAGGCTGAGGCAGGAGGATTGCAAGTTTGAAGCCTGCCTCAGCAACTTAGTGAGGCCTGTCTCAAAAAGTAAAATGAGCTGGGGTATATATAGCTCAGTGGTAAAGTACCTTTGGGTCTAATCCTCAGTACAAAAAAAAAAAAAAAAAGAAAAAAAGAAAGGAGAGAGACACACAAAACCAAGAATTTTCACTCGCCATTCCTCCTACCTTTTTAACCAGCAAAGAGACCAACCTAAAACAGACCTGGTCTAGAAACGATACCAAATATCTTCAACCCCTGAAACTCATAACCCTGGGTTCACCTCCTCATCTTTCCAAGGCCTGGGCCCACCTAAAGTTTTCTTAAGTCGTCTCTTAAACCTCTCACATTTTACTCCCACCCAAGGGTGCCCACCTTCCTTAGCTCCTTGGATGCTGTGTGCTCCTCTTTTACCCCTTTTGTCACCTTTCCTTATTCCTCCTGCAGTCTTCCACTCTAATTCCTTGGCCTTCTGTCTTCACTCTCCACTTGACAGAAGCCGTATGTGTGCAAGCTCCCTGGCTGCACCAAACGCTACACAGACCCCAGCTCACTCCGAAAACACGTCAAGACAGTGCATGGTCCTGATGCCCATGTGACCAAGCGACATCGAGGGGATGGCCCCTTGCCCCGGGCACCATCCCTTTCCACAGTGGAGCCCAAGAGGGAGCAGCGAGAAGGAGGCTCCATCAGGGAAGAGAGCAGACTGACTGTGCCAGAGGGTGCCATGGTGAGCCAGCTCAGGCAAATTCACCTCCATACTCCAGCCTGCCCTGCTGATCTCTTTCTAACCCCTTCTGAATCACCTCCTCCCATCTAAATCACTCTTCTGAAACCTTTGAGCCTTTCTCTCATCCTCTTGTTTCTCTTTGGCCTACCCAAAATCTGTGAAATTTAGAGTTGTGAATTATTTAATTGATTCAACAACTCACTTTTAAGCAGCACTTTGTATTTTTTCAAGCCTTTTATGTGCATAATTTCATGTGTTCCTCACAACAACTTAATGAGAAAGGAACTTGTGCCACATACCTATAATCCCAGCTACTCAAGAGTCTGAGGCAGAAGATCACAAGTCTGAGGCTGGCCTGGGCAAGATCTTGTCTCAAAATACAAAATAAACAGGGTTAGGGATGCAGGTCAGTGGTAGAGCACCCCTGGGCTAAAACTTTACCACCACAAAAATAAAGAGAAAGGAACTTGCACCCCAGCAGTCTATATTCCAGCCTGGGCTCTTCTAAAACATGTCTTCCAGTTTGCCACAGTTTCTCACTTGCTCAGCCCTCTGTACACTTTAACACCTTCCCTCGGCTCAGGTGGTCACTGGGACACAAGCTTCAGCTGCTTATAAAGTTGAAGAAGCTGTGGGGAAGGGGGAAGGGTGCCTCCCTCAGCCCTCATGTTCTCCACAGAAGCCACAGCCCAGCCCTGGGGCACAGTCTTCCTGCAGCAGTGACCACTCTCCAGCAGGCAGCGCAGCCAACACAGACAGTGGCGTGGAAATGGCTGGCAATGCAGGGGGCAGCACTGAGGACCTGTCTAGCTTGGATGAGGGGACTTGTGTTGCTGGCACTGGACTGTCCACTCTTCGCCGCCTTGAGAATCTCAGGCTGGACCAGCTGCATCAACTCCGGCCAGTAGGGCCACGGAGTCTCAAACTGCCCAGCTTGACCCACACTGGTGAGATCTGGGTGTAGGAGGTATTGCTGGGCTGAGATCTGGACGTGCCCTGAGGTTGGGAGGAAGTCACCCTTCAGGGCTTCCATATGACACCTTTGTACAATTAGAAAAAGATCCCCTTTCTTCAGAACACTGCCAGTGAATGCTGTCCCCTAGGATTGTGTGACACACAACCTGTATGACCATTCACAGCAGGCCTGAATCCCTGGTGAACCAGGAGAATGGGCATGAGAGGAAACAGAATTGAATTAAGGAGCCTAGGACACCTTATCCTGGAACTCCGGGACAAGGCTATCTCATGGGTGAAATTCAGGGGGCCCCTGACTATCCTGTCTTTTCTCCCTGTCACTTTGCAGGCACCCCTGTGTCCCGCCGTCTGGGCCCTCCAGCCTCTCTTGATCGCCGCAGCAGCAGCTCCAGCAGCATCAGCTCTGCCTACACTGTCAGCCGCCGTTCCTCCCTTGCCTCCCCTTTTCCCCCTGGATCCCCACCAGAGAATGGGGCGTCCTCCCTGCCTGGCCTCACACCTGCCCAGCACTACCTGCTCCGGACAAGATATGCTTCAGCCAGGGGCGGTGCTACCCCACCCATAGCAGCACCCAGCCTGGATCGGGTGGGGAGTCTCCCTGCACCTTCTTGGAGAAGTAAAGCTGAGTATCCAGGATATAACCCCAATGCAGGGGTCACCCGTAGGGCCAGTGACCCAGCCCGAGCTGCCGACCGCCCTGTTCCAGCCAGAGTCCAGCGGTTCAAGAGCCTGGGTTGTGTCCACATACCCCCTACTGTGGCAGGGGGAGGACGGAACTTTGATCCTCACCTCCCAACCTCTATCTATTCACCACAGCCTCCCAGCATTACAGAGAACATTGCCATGGATACTAGAGGGCTACGGGAGGAGCCAGAGGTTGGGACTTCCATGATGGGCAGTGGTCTGAACCCCTATATAGACTTCTCATCTGATGATACTCTAGGATATGGGGGGCCTGAAGGGGCAGCGGCAGAGCCTTATGGAGCTAGGGGTCCAGGTGCCTTGCCTCTTGGGCCTGGTCCACCTACCACCTATGGCCCCAGCCCCTGTCCCCAACAGGTCTCCTATCCTGACACCACTCCAGAAACATGGGGTGAGTTCCCTTCAGTACACTCTGGGCTATATCCAAGTCCCAAGACTCCAGGTGGAGCCTATAGTCAGTGTCCTCGACTTGAACATTATGGACAAATACAAGTGAAACCAGAACAAGGATGCCCAGTGGGGTCTGACTCCACAGGACTGGCACCCTGCCTCAATGCCCATCCCAGGGAGGGACTCGCATGCCCACAGCCCCCATTCTCCCATTACCCCCAGCCTCCTCCTCCCCAGTATCCTCAGACAGGTCCCTATCCTCAGCCACCCCCTGATTATCTTCCTTCAGAACCCAGGTCTGATCTTGATTTTGATTCTCCCACTCATTCTACTGGACAGCTCAAGGCTCAACTTGTTTGTGATTATGTTCAGTCTCAGCAAGAGCTCCTCTGGGAGGGTGGGGGCAGGGGAGAGGCCCCAGTCCAGGAACCTTCCTATCAAAATTCCAAGTTTCTGGAGGATTCTCAAATTAGTCCAAGCCCTGCCAAAGCCCCAATGGCCACATATGAACCTGGCTTTGCACCCAGCTTGCCCAATCACAAGTCAAGCTCCTACCCCACACATTCATCATGCCATGAAAATTTTGCTGTGGGAGCGAACAGAACCTCCCATAGGGGAACAGCACCACCCCGGCTTCTGCCTCCATTGCCCCCTTGCTATGGGCCCCTCAAGGCAGGGGGAACCAACCCCAGCTGTGGTCATCCTGAAGTTGGCAGGCTGGGAACAGGTCCTGCCTTGTACCCTCCTCCTGAAGGGCAGGTATGTAACCCTCTGGACTCTCTTGATCTTGACAACACTCAGCTGGACTTTGTGGCTATTCTGGATGAGGCCCAAGGGCTGAGTCCTCCTCCTTCCCATGATCAGGGAGACAGCTCTGAACATACCCCACCTTCCTCTGGGCCCCCCAACATGGCTGTGGGCAACATGAGTGTATTACTGGGATCCCTACCTGGAGAGACACAATTCCTCAACTCTAGTGCCTAAATGGTGAAGAATACCATCCATAAAACCCTCATTTCCTAAGGCTTCCATTCCTCCAGGGGAGTTGGGGAGAGGAGCCACAGATCCCTGCAGAAGATGCCCCAGGGATGGAAGATTTAGGTTGGGGGCTGTATTTAATCTGCGTATGTTTTGGAGAGGAATTTTATAATGACACTGATTCCTGAAAATAAAGGAACTGCATCAGAAAAAAAATGGTGTTTTATGTGTTATCTTGGGGAGGGGAGCAAGAAGAGAAGTGGGGGTTCATCTTCCCACTTTCCTTTTTAGAGGGTTCCCTCACCCAATCCCAACCCCTCAGGTGAGACTCAAGAAGATAAAGAGGGTTATCTGGGAGACAGGGTTTATATGCATGTCCTCAAAACAGAACACCCCCACACACAAAAGGCTAGCCTACAGATCATTGGAAGAAATCATGTCCTCTTTCTTGCCTGAGTCAGGGGAAGAGGCTGGCGAAGTTGGTGAGCATCAGCTGGACCAGCTGCCCAGGGTAGAGTGCATGGGCTGCAGGATCAGATGTCTCCTGCTCTGGTCGAAAGAGGGTTGGTCCAAACACAATTCCCAGGTTGTGAGGGGTCATGCGGTTCTTATCTGAGTGTGTTATTACCCTGTGGGCAAAGGCCAATGGAAGAGGAAATAAGGCTGCAGCTCACTACTTCAAATCCATCTAACCCTGAAGGTTTGAGCACTAAAGGGCTCATCCTGGGATCCTTCTATGTGGTAGCTAAAGAAACCAAGAGCAGAATCTCAGGGCAAGTGGGGAGAGGGACTAGTGGAGAAACTTTCAGGATATAAGCTGAAAATAGAACCTAGGATGTAACTGCCTGTTTCCAGGCATGGCCCTTAGAATACTTTCTGCTCATGATTTGGGAGGTTTAATTCAAATAGTCATCCCCTTTCAGAGGTCACTGCCCAGGCCTACCTCAGCCTAACAAGCCATCACCACTGCCCAGGTGGATGAAAAAATAATAAGGAAGGAAAAAATAAGATTTCCCTTCTTTTTCTCACAGAATTCTTGGGCTTGTCTTCATCCCATTCCCCCATTTGATGCTGAGCTATTCAAAGATTTGATGTGTGTCTCTAGCCAGGTAAACTTGGATGCTTACCTACCTCCACCCCACAAACACAGAGTTCCTGATGCATGCAGTACTCCACCCTCCCCAGCATGAGCAAAGATATTCGATATTCCCAACCTGCATAAATGCTCCAGGAGGTACCGCAGAGTATCATGGTTTGGCTTTGGCATTGAGTCTACTAATTCTTGTATTTGAGAGAGGCGCTGCTCTGATTCAGAAAGTGCTAGAGAGACAGAGAGAGAGAGAGAGAGAGAGAGAGAAATGGAAAGGGCATGGGAGTCAGGTTAGGGAAGTTTCATGGGCTGGGGATGTAACTCAGTGATAGAGCACTTGCTTAGCATACTCTGGATTCAATCCCAGCCTGACCAAAAATAAAAACAAACAAAAACTCTAAATTCCACACATAATCCACCCCCCTCCCTCCAAAAAACCCCAAAACTATTGGAGTTGGCACATGAGTTACTTTCCATCTCTATGGTTAGAATGAAAAATAATTCTCTATTCTATTATTTACCACACATGCCCCCCAAGAGTGTTGCCCCAAACTCTCAACACTTACCAAGGGCAGCACGAAAATGGGGCAGCAGCATTGGGGGGACCAGAGGCTGGGGTAGCTCCCGGAGAAAAAGTTTCAGGGCTCCGGTGACCACATGAATATCATCCCACTCAGCACTGTCCAAATCTAACCGGCCTTCTATAGGGAAAAGGAGGTTCAATGGGTTCAGGGTTCATCAAGGGCCAGAGAGACCTAGAGACTGAGCGATCAGAAGTTCTGGAGAAATTCAGCCAAAGCTGATCACAAGAATGCTATGGAGGTCCATCACAGGGCAAGACAACAAAGGTAAGAATGGAGATAACCTTTCTAGGAGCAGGACATGGGGGAATCCATTGGGAACAAGGAGGACATGGGGAAGTTTAAAGGGATCTCAGGGGTACTCCATGTAAGTACCTTGTCCTGGATTTTCTGGGAACATATACCTCCCATCAGAGGTGACTGCCCGTTCTACAACATAGATGAGAAGAGATCAGGAGTTAAGACTTGCAGTTCCAGCTCTCTTATTTAGTACCACCCTCAGTTCTTTTTTTTTTTTAACATTTATTTTTTAGAAATAGTTGGACACAATACCTTTATTTATTTATTTATTTACTTTTATGTGGTGCTGAGGATCAAACCCAGGGCCTGGCATGTGCTAAAGGAGCGCTCTACCACTGAGCCACAATGCCAGCCCCACACCCCCAGTTCTGAGGCTTGAAGTTCTCAGTACCACCACTTGCCTACAAACCTTCTCACCTCGGTCCACCAGAAAGCGAAGTTTCTGAACCACTGCCAAGTTCCCGCTCACTCGGTAAATGCCATCCACATCTAGACCTAGGAGATGAATTAGGGAGCACATGGGACTCATGCTCTAAAGTGTGTGTGGTGAAGGCCACACTGAGAAATATGAGGAAGAAAGAGGGCAGTAGAAAGACAAGGATGGAAGAAGTGGGAATTCCAGGACTTGGTCTGTTTTAAAGGGGGAGAATCTGGAGTCTCTAGGAAAATGACCTCGTTTATCCACAGCAGCAATGCAGAGACGTACAAAGCTGGGCACCGTGTCTCCTTCCCGCTGGCACAGTGATTCCAACTGGCAGCCAAATACCTGGTCTGGGGAGGTAAAGTGAGGTGGGAAGCCAGGGCCAACTCACTCAAGGAAGCTCTTCTCAGCCAGGTCAGGTCTTCTCCCTGAAATGGGACTGGCCCTTCTGCTGTCTGTGCCCCACCTGGGTATGGAGGTATCCCCCCTCCCAACTGCCCAATAATCAGGAATAGTTGATTATTTAAAAACAGGGGTCTCGAGGGCTGGGGATATAGCTCAGTTGGTAGAGTGCTTGCCTCCTATGCACAAGGTCCCGGGTTCAAAGAAAAGAAAAGGAAAAAAAGAGCAGGGCTCTTAGAAGACTACAATATAGCTCTAGAAAGCTCAACTCTGAGCCTTGCAGGAGTTCTTTCATCCACAAAACGGGCTGATACCCAGATCGGGAATACAAAAGTGCTTTCAAAAACACTAAAGCAGGCAGGTCCCTCAGTCTTCCTAGCCCACCTCACCCCTGAGCAGACCCCGCTCCTGAAGGCTTTGCAAGGGCGGTCTCTTGGCGATTAGCCGCTTCAGCTTGTTCCGCACGCGGTTCTGCTCAGTGCCTTCCGGACACCGACCTGTTGGAGGCAGATAGAGTAAGAGCCTGATAGCAAACGCAGGATCTAGGATCCAAGGATCCTCTCCCCTGACCCGCCCCATACTGGAGCTCCGGCGGCCGCTGAGCCGCAAAAACGGCTTGGGCACTGGCTCAGAGTCCTCTTCTTCATCCTCTCCGGCGCTCAGCTCCGCCAGCTCTGCAGGTCCGGAGCCCGACAGTCGCAGCTCCAGCGGGTTCTCTCGCTCCTGAACCCATGCAGAGGGTTGCAAGAAAGAAGAGAGAAATTTGCATCCCTGGCTCCCTAAAGAGACTCTAATCCTCTGCTTGGGTCCCAAGTTCCAGCCTCACCCTAGGCCAGGTCTTTTACACCGAGATCACGGTGCCCCCACATCCCCAACTCCTGCTGTTCCTACCCTACTCCCTTGGTCTCCGGTCCCCGCCTGGCCAGAGCGTCACCCGGGTCTCCCACCCTTCTAACCAGCCGCTCGATGACAGCCCGCAGCGCGTGGTGCCAGGCTCGAAGCTCTGTCTCTTGATCTGACTGCAACAGGAACTCGTGGCCAGGGACTGTGCGGATCTAGGGAGCGGGTGGGGAAAGGTTTGGGTCAGTGGGAAGCCTCAAAAGCTGGGACGCCAAGATCAAGAGTTATAGGGAGGTTTTAAGGGCGCGTCCTGGGTTTGGGTGGGGATTTGAGGACTCCAGGGGACCGTACTCACGTGCAGGACGTTGCGCCGGCTGGACAGGTGGCGGCCGTGTGCCAGGGCCGCCCCACGCAGGTCCACACTGCTTTCGGGCCGGCTACCCGCTGGCCCCTGGCAATTAGGAGAGAAACTGAAGCCATGGGGTTGTTTCTCTCACTGCTCCCCTCTTCCACGACGGGTTCCTCATTCCTTCACCTTCCTCTGCAACGCCCTCTCCACCTCTCCCCTCAGTCGGCCGGAGGCGGGAAGAAATAGCACCCCAAACTTTCCGGCACCCCTTTCCTTACACTCATCCAGCCTGAAGAGGGTGCAGTTGGCGGTGGAGGATCTCGGTAGAACACCAGGCTGTTACCAGCTAACACCACCCAAGACGGGCCCCAGTTCTTCCTGCGGGGGCGGGGGCAGGGGAGAGGCAGTAGTGTTTGTGAATAGGTCATTCTAGAATTTCACTGGGTGTGAGCTCCCCCAACACCCTGGTCTACCCTACGGAATAACCCTGATCCATGGTGTATTCCAGTTTCTCCTTACCTGAGCTTGCGCCCCCCTTGGGCAATCTTGGTCATGTTGAGAAGGCCTGACTTTTCCACCTCCTGGGAAGGGGAGGGAGTGGTATCTGTAAACTACCCTGTACCGCCACAGGCTTTCCCTAAGGGGTTTCCCAGGAGTGCGGTCCCTTGAAGTTTTGTACGAGTAGGGGGCTGGATATGAGAGGATACCCGCAAAATAGGAATATTTTTTGAGGAGCAGGAATTGAGGGGTAAAGCATGGAGGATCATGGCATTTGAAGGACATGGGAGACTCACATGGGGGTCGTCCAGGAGCTGTGGCAGAGCTCTAGGAGAATGCAAAGCTGGAGGCTGGTCTGAGGGGACAAACTGGGAGGTGCCTTGGCTGAGGGAGGGTGAACCCTGGGGGAAGGAATTGAAGAAACAGGTGGAGGAAACTTAAGTTCTGGGGTCCCTGGCTGTAGGAGGAAGAGGAGCGATAATGTGGGTGAGAGGCAAAGTGGATAATGAAGAAGAATGTCTTGCATAAGAGAAAGCTGCAAAAAAAAAAAAAAGTACTTTTTCTGCATGATTTTGGCGAGGTTGGAAAGGGCCTTACCTGTGAGTCAAGCAGTTCCAGGTTCCCTGTGTCAGATCCTGAGCCCTTTGCCTGAGGTTGCAGGACACCATTGTCCCTATTCAGGGTCTGGATCCCCTCCATTGAGCCAGAGTTCTGGGTTTAAGGGAGAGGAAGATAAAGTTTCAGCCAGTTGTCACCTCAACCCACACTCAACATCCTTCTCACAATTTGCTGATTCTTCTGTCTCCTGAGAGCCACAGAAAGAAAACACGATACCTTGGGGTTCAGTGGGAGAAAGGAGGAAATTGAGGGGACAAAGGAATAAGCATAAGGAAAAGTCTCACCGTGTCTTGAGTGCGACTGCGGCGTGGGGGCTTCCAGGACTTGCAGCCAGTCAGAGAATTTATGTAGAAGCAGCGTCCAGAGTTGGGGTCCAGGTGCTGCTCCCAGGCGTCCAGCCTCTGCAGTGGCGGGCATGCAGGGACTGGGGGTGGGGACCGAGGACAGCTGCGAAGGTCCACCAGGTTACAGTACACAGGGGCCTCTGACATGAGGGGTTGGGGTTCTGCCTGCCAGAAAGGGTCAGGGAGAAGTCGGTGCTTTCTCTGCCTGTGCTCCCCCCCAATTTTCTCTCCCTCTTATCACCTCCTTCTTCATCCCCCACCATTTTCTCACCACCAGCTCCCTGCCTGGGTGACCCAGGTACAGGGGGAGAATCCCCAGTCACCCAGCTGCTTTTAAAAAATTCTCTCTCACAATCTTCTTTGCTTTTCTCCTCACTTCCTGTTGCCAACTTCCCTCCTCCCCCACCCAACCCCCGCCCTGGGCCGCAGGAAAGGGGAACAGGCTTTTTGTTGGTGGGGGGGGGGGAGGTGAGGGGAACACTCCACCCTTACATCCTGCAGGGTAAAAGAAGACCAAAAGGAGTGAGAGACGACCCTTGCTAAGGAGATCTGAAGGAGGAGGGGCTTTTTCCAACCAGTAACAAGAAAGAGGGAGGGGAGAAATCAAGTCTGGGAGTTAGCTCCAGAGGGGATTTGCTGGTGGCCCTACTGACAAGACATAAAATAGGAAAAACCCTACCCCAGTAGGAGTCAAGAGGAAGGGAGAAAGAGGATGGCTCCTTGCTCTTCTTTCAGTCCTTCTATTGTGCCAGGTTCCTTGTCCCCTCAGGGCCTTGGCTACTTGTTCTCCCTTCTCAAGTCTTCCTTTGTCTTATGGCTGTCTGCCTCTTCCTCCTCCTCCTATTTGCTGCCTTCTCAGACTACCTCAGCTACTCTCTACCACATTTGCTCTTCTTTGTAGCTTTATTAACAACAGAATAAGTATGGGTTATTTATTTATGTTTGTCCCTTAAAGACATGAATGCTTCTGTCCTGTTTGCTCTTATTCCCATAATGGGACCCAGCTGTAATATTTGTGAACTGGCCATGCTCAGGAGTAAAGCTGTAACTCACCATATTGGCACTGGTCTTTGACAGCAAGTCTTCCTGGGAGAAGGATCTTCCATTTGGCCTTTCCTGGAGGGGCTTTAGGAGGCTGGGCCTCAAATTGGCCACACTGACACTTCTACACATTTTCGGGGGAAGTGGAGGAGGCTGCTCTGATGTAGGCTGGTGTGCCTGAGATAGGTGCACCTTCTCCAGGGAGCCACGAAACAACTTTGGCCCTGAAAACAGAAATGGGGGAGAGTTATGATCATGATTGGGTCTTTAAGGTGGTCAGAGGGAGGATGTGGAAAATAATGAGCTGGGTGTGGTGATGCATGCCTGTAATCCATGTGGCTCAGGAGGCTGAGGCAGGAGGATCACAAGTTTAAAGACAGCCTTAGCAAAAGCAAGGTGCTAAGCAACTTGATGAGACCGTGTTTCTAAATAAAAAATGCAAAATAGGGCTGGGGATGTATCTCAGTGATTGAACGCCCTGAGTTCAATTCTTGGCACCCCACCAAAAAAAAAAAAAAAAAGAAAGAAAAGAATGAGACCAAGAAGTCTTGGGACTAATGGTGGAGAAGATGGGATCATTATGCTACCACAATGGGGATGAGGTGTAAGCTGTTGGGAGGGAGGTAAGAGAAGGGGACCAGCAGAAGCAAGTGGGAAGTATCAAGGTGTAAGGGCACACGCCTTTAATCCCATCAATAAGGAAGATGGAGGCAGGAGGATCACAAATTCAAGGCCAGCCTTAGCAACTTAGTAAGACTCTGTTTCGAAATAAAAAATAAAAAGAGCTGGGAATGTGGCTCAGTGGTTACTCTTCCTGGGTTCAATCACTGGTACTAATAAATAAATGAACTTACAAACAAATAGACTGGAGATGTATATTAGTGGTAGAGTACTCCTATTCAATTCCCAGTACAATAATAATAATAATAATAATAATAATAATCGTCGTCATCATCATCATCATCATCATCATCATCATCATCATCTGCCAAAACTAGGGAGACAGGAAGGTGATGGGAGAGGGCTTAGGACTTACTTACCAGGAGTCCAGAGAGATTGGCTGGGTGTAATGATGGTTGTGCTCTGTGAAGGGACAGATTCCTCTGTCACGTAGGCAGCTGGGACAAAGATGGGTCGAGAGGTAGAGGGTGCTCCCAGGCGCCTTGCCAACCACCAGTCTGAGTTGGTCTTTCGAAGCAGTAGGAACCTGTCTCCTTCAGCCAGAGACACCTGCCGGCCATCTGCCCCAGTATAAGTAAAGGCATAGAGGGCACACAGCTGGGATCCCTGAGAGGGGTTTCTGGTCCCCAACCCTAGATTCCCCCAGGTACTTGGCCACCACCGGCCAGAAAGCATTGTGGTCAGCACTGTCACCTATGGGAAAAGGGTAAGCTGGAGATGCAGAAGGAAGCAGGACTGGCTGCTTCCAGGCAAAAGGACATCCTTCTAAGAGAAGTGGTGGGGGAGAAGGGGAGGGGGAGGAAGAAGGTGAAGACAGGAGCACCCGGGAAAGTAAAAGGGTAAAGCAGAGGGCTTGGGTTGGGGATCAGTATGGGCCTGGGGGGCTGAGAACTCCTGGGTGATGTGTCTGGTGAGGAAGTATATAAGTAAGGTGAGAGAGGATGTGGTCAGCTGGGCTGTGTGGCCAGCAAGGCAGGAAATCAGAGGAGTTGAACTTGCTTGTGAATTTTACTGCAATTATACCTTGTGGGGTCCATCTGAAAATCCAGGGACAGGAGGAGTTGGTCCTGGGTGCTGGTGGAAGTCTTGAGCTAGACACAGAAAGAAAATGAGGAGGAAAAATCAAATCCAAGACAGAAACGCAGGGAAATACACAAGAGGTAACGACAAACGTTTGTGACCCTTTATTAAATTTGCATAAGCATCAATATTTCCGTTACCAATCACCTCAGACCTAAAGCTGCATGCTTCCTGTGCAGACAGAGGGACAGAGAGACAGAGAAACAGAGAGCCAGAGAAACAGTAAGACCAAATAAGAGAGCAAGAGAAAGTGGCTAGGAGAAATGCAGAGGGATTCAGAGTTGAAATATCACCCTACTCCCTAGGGCATGATGTTGAGAGGGATAATCTTGACGTGATCCTCTGTGCATCGGCTTCTTGGAGGAGGCATCCAATTTTAGTGTGTAGTTTCACTCATTCAACACTCTTACCAAGGACTGATTGGCTGAAAAGAGCAGTGAAGCATTAGATGGAGATGAGAGAGAGAAGTGAGCCCTCATGGAACTTGAGGAGACCTTAACTGATGGCACAAAAAAACTTATTATACTTGAAGCAGGAACTATGAACTACTAATGTCAGCTTCTCCCTGGTGGAAGGTGGGAACTGGTCTCCTTGGATGGCCAGCAGTTTTAAACCCATAATTCCTGACCACTCCTCTTTTCCCCTTCTGTTTTTCTACTGCACAGTGTGAAGCTTTCTGTTTGGGTTTGGAAAGGTGGAGTAGAAAATGAATGTCCATTCCCTCTGGTGACATCAGACAGCCAGCTGTCCTCTCCTGACCTGTCTGAGGACTGGATGGTCAGTACTGGGCTTCTGTCTCAGTGATCTTGATTAGTTCCACTTTCAACACATGGAGAACTCTTCCCTCTTCCAAAATATGACTAACTTCATCCATTTATTCATTCATTTGATTTTCTTTTTTCCTTTTCTATTTTTCAGTATTGGGGATTGAACCCTTACTAATTAAGTGCTCTATCACATCAGTCCCATCTGATGCTTGGTAAGTCTGAAATTCTAATCTTTCCTTCCTTCTCTGAAGCTAGCTCTCCTGGACTTTAGTTCTTCTCCTTATGGATTAATTCCCATTCTTCTTTCTTTTTTTAAGTACTAGAGATTGAACCCAGGGCACTCTACTGCTGAGAGACATCCCAGCCCTTTTTACTTTTTATTTTGAGACAGGATTAAATTGCCCATGCTGGCCTGGAATTTGTGATCCTCCTTTCTCAACTTCCTGATCTTCCTGTCTCAGCCTCCAAGTAGCTGAGATTACAGGCAGATGCCACCAAGCCCAGCTCCCATTATTATTTTTGGTACTGGAATTAGAAACCAGGGTCACTTTTCCATTGAGTTACATCCCCAGCCCTTTTTAATTTTTTTTTTTTAATTTTAGGCAGAATCTTGTTAAGTTGCTGAGGTTGGCCTTGACTTGCAATCCTGCCTTAGCCTCCGAAATCACTGGGACTCCGGGTGTGTGCCACCACACTGGGTTCCCTTTCACTTTTAAACATATCTAAGTCTCTCCCTTCTTTAAACCTCCCCTTACTAGGCTCTCAAGTTACTACCCTATGTCTATCTGTCTCTTTTTTTCTTTTTTCTTTCTTTCTTTTTTTTTTGGCACCGAGGATTGAACTCAGAGGCACTTAACCACTGAGCCACATCCCCAGCCCTGTTTTGTATTTTATTTAGAGATAAGGTCTCACTGAGTTGCTAAGCACCTTGCTAAATTGCTGAGGCTGGCTTTGAACTCACAATCCTCTTGCCTCAGCCTCCCGAGCTGCTGGAATTACAGGCATATGCCATCGTACCCGGCCTGTCTCTTTTTCTCACTCTTGCATCTTATGGTCTTAACTTCTTGAAGGAGTTGCCTATAGGGGCAACTATAAGGGTCTCCCATTTCCTCTCCTCTAACTTCTGTATCTTTCCAAGGTCACTCCTCTCTAAGATCACCCCACACTTGCATGGATATTTTGCAGTCCTTATGTTGCTTGATATCTCAGCAGCAGGCAACTCATCTGACCTTTCCTACCAACAGTCTGATGGTGTCCCTTACCTTTCTGATTCTCTGTGGTACAAGGAAGGAACTTCCTCTGTCTGTTCCTTAAACCACAGAAGCCTTTCTTAGATCCTATGTCCTTTGTGCTGTATACATCCTCCCTGGATGGTCTTATTTTCTCAAATAATTTCCATATCCTGGTAAGTACCACATCTCTAGATCTTTCTTTGGAGCTCCAGTTTAATCCACTCTCCACCAAAAACAAACAAACAAACAAACTAAAAACTCTACTTGGATATTTCACAGGTACCACAAACTCAGTACACACTAAACTGAACATGTCAATTTTCTTCACAAATCTGTTTTTCTTTCAGTACCACTATTCAATCATACTTAAATTCAAAAAATATTTATTGAATGCTACTACCATATGTGCATTAGGCATTGTCAGTTATGATTCGAAAGGGTCTCTGATCTCTTAAAACAATTAGAATACAGTGTGATAATAATCACTATAATAGAGGAAGTTCTAGTATCTGCTAGAGTACACAGTGTGCACCATTGCGCATGTCAGAAACCAGCAGTTGGCCTCAATTCTCTAGTTTCCTCACCACCTACATTGATTCAACTGATTACTAAATACTGCCATTTTTATCTCTCCATATCTAATTTTTTTTCTTTTTTGATGTCGCTGGGGTTTGAACCTAGGGCCATGTGCATACTATGAAAATACTCTACAACTGATTATAGCCCAGACTTATCTACAATTCCTCTCTCTCTTTCTGTACCCGATATTGAACTCAGGAGCATTTACCCACTCAATCACATCCTCAGGCCCCCCTTTTATAGTTGTAGATGGACAGTCTGACTTTATTTTTTTAATGTGGTGCTGAGGATCAAACCCAGTGCTTCACACATGCTAGGCAAATGCTCTGCCACTGAGCTACAGCCCCAGCCCCCAGCCCTTTTTATTTTTTATTTTGAGACAGTATCTTGCTAAGTTGCTTAGAGCCCTGCTAAATTACCTAGGCTGGCTTTGAACTTGGGATATTCCTGCCTCAGCCTCCTAAACTGCTGGGATTACAGGTATGTGCCTATATCAAATATATATATATATGTATATATGTATGCATATACATATATTAATATATATAATATATTATATATATACACAAACATACACATATATACAAATACGTGTGTGTATGTATATATATATATATTTGATAATGGGGATCTAACCTAGAGGTGCTTTATCACTAAGCTACATTCCCAGCCTTTTTTTAAATTTTGAGATATGGTCTCACTAAATTGCTGAGACTGGCCTCAAACTTGCAATCCTCCTGTCTCAGCCTTTTGAGTTGCTGGGATTATAGGCATGTGCCACCACTCCTCCTCCTTCTCTTCCTTCTTCTTTTCATGGACTTTTTTTTAGGGTAGTTTAAGTTTACAGTACATATATATTTTTAGAAACATTCATTGACTTTAGACCTTACTGAGTTCTGATTATGTAGAGTGTAGCAGTATCAGAAGCTCAAGCATGTTGATTATGAATTGCTTGAAAATTAAGACTAAATAACAGATTAATTGTATTGCTTCTTCAATATATTGTAGGTCCTTGATATTACTGAAGGATATGTTCCAAGACCTTCTTGACTCCCAAATAAAAGAATTTTGCTCTAGGATGAAATTGCTTTGTTGCAACTACTACCTCTTTACCTCTTTAATAAGCTCCTAATTAGTCTCCTTGTATATAGTTGTGCTCCCCTCCCATCTTCCCCTGGCACAACGGCCACAGTGATCTTCTAAAAACAAATATGGTGGGCTGGGGATATAGTACAGCTTTCCTAGCATGCACAAGGCCCTGAGTTCAATCCCCAGTTCCACCAAAAATACATAATACATACATACATATATACATACATACCCACGAATGTGCCCTGCTACTCCTCTGACTTAAACTTTTCAATGGCTTCTCATTGTCTTGAGTAAAGTTGAAATTTTACGGTGTAATTTACAGAGATTTTCCCATTTTTTTTAAGTACCAGGTATTGAACCCTGGGCACTCAACCACTGAGCCATATCCCCAATCCTTTTTTTTTTTTTTTTTTAAAGAGAGAGAGAGAGAGGAGAGAGAGAGAGAGAGAGAGAGAGAGAGAGAGAGAGAGAGAGAGAGAATTTTTAATATTTATTTTTTAGTTCTCGGCGGACACAACATCTTTGTTGGTATGTGGTGCTGAGGATCGAACCCGGGCCGCACGCATGCCAGGCGAGCGCACTATGCTTGAGCCACATCCCCAGCCCCCCCAATCCTTTTTTATATTTTATTTAGATACAGAGTCTCACTAAGTTGCTTAGGGCCTCACTAAGTTGGAGAGGCTGGCTTTGAATTTGCGATCCTCCTGCCTCAGCCTCACAAGCTCCTGGCATGTGCCACCACACTTGGCTGAGATTTTCCCACTCATCTAGCCTTTTCATACTCCCCACTAGAAACTCCACACTGTAGCCTTATGCTAATTCCTCAGATTCCTAAAGAGCTCTGAGATCTTGATCCTTTGCATATGTTATTTCCTCTGCCTGGAACATTTCCCTTCTCCAGTCTTTCAGTCTTTGCCTTCTTAACTCTGATTCATCATTCAGATCTCAGCTGAAATTTCATTTGCACAATAAGGCGTCTCAGGTTTCACAAACATTATCTACCTTGTTATAACTATCAACATATTTTAAAGATTATTAGAATCCAGGCATG